TCATTTTTTTGAGTTAATAACTTTAAGTTTGGTTCTTAAGCCTCAAATTTTGGTTTAATTTGTCATTAATTTGATTTGGATACTTCAAGGAATTGGAGGGGCATCAGGTATATGTCAATACAGTGACAGGGTAAAGAATGAAGCAGTGGTGTATATATGTGTGTAGATAGATAGATGAGATAGATACATTTTTCACAATATACATACAAATGCACATTTACATATACATATGCTATAAAATTAGCAAACTTGCTGTGCCTGTCTCTGTCTAGCCCAGGTCTAACATCTTTGATCTCGCCAGTGCCTTGGACTATGGAAAATGGAAGCAACTTCCATCACCTCCCCCTCTCACTTGTGGCCCTCCTGAATGTATTTGCTCACTCCTGTGCCTTCATCGCCCTTTGTGTTTGTTGGATTCTAGGCTCTGTCATATTCACTTCGTCCATCTAAGCTAGCCATTTGTCTTACAGATCTGTCGTTATGCCATAGTCATACTACCCATTTGGAACTTGACCCAGTACTAAGTCCGGTGGTCCTCAGAATGATGAAAAGAGAGGAGGGTTCTTTTATTGTATTATTTTTTGAGACAAGGCCTCACTGTACTGCCCAGGCTGGAACACAGTGGCATGATCACAGCTCACTGCAGCTTTGAACTCCTGGGTTCAAGCAATCTTCCCACCTCAGCCTCCCAAATAGTTAGAACTACATGTACCACCATACCCAGCTAATATTTTTTATGTTTTACAGAGATGGGGTTTTGTTATGTTGCTCAGGCTGGTCTCAAACTCTTGACCTCAAATAATCTTCCCACCTTGGCTTCCCAAAATGTTGGGATTACAGACATGAGCCACTGCATGTGACCAAAGTGTCCTTTTATTATAGTGTTGCTGCTTACCATGGTAATGGCATTTAGCATTTTCACATTTAACCTCCCCTAGAGCAGAGACAGTCTTTGGAAAATAGCCTTGATCAATAGATTTAGTCCTACTGAAGTTTCTGTCTGCACTCATTCATTCATTCATTCAACAGAACCCCCCCTATGACAAGGACATCCAGCTCATTGTTCCCCACACTGCATCAGGGCCATTACTCTTCTTTCTCCATTCTCACCTGCTGTCCTCCCCAGCCCTTCCCACAGCTCTAGTCTGCCCTCTGTTGTCCCTGTTTATTTGGCCCAGGTGAGTTTGTCATCGTTAAGCTTTTTCATGTTCCTACAACCCTACACAAGCCCTTTATTCAATCAACAAGAATATATTATGAAACCACCACACTCCTGTTGCTGTGCTGGGCATTCAGAAGAAATGAAAGTATGGCCTCCGCCCTTAAAGTGCTTTCACCTAACAAGTGAAAAATGGTTTAGAGTTCACATACTTGAAATGATAGCACTCCACTTAGGTTCAAAGGGGGCTGCCTGTTTCATCCATGAGAGCAAGGACCACGTCTGAGGGTTCAGATCCATAGATTCTAACCCATTGCCTGGCGTGGAGGAGATGCTATGTCAAATATTTTTTGGTAGGGTGAATGAAGTCTAGCATATTAGAATGGCTTCGTGAAGGAAGAGGAAAAAACAGCTCTTAAAGGATGGCAAAAGTTGGGATTGATATCTATCCTCTCCATAGGCCAAAAGGAGCAAGGGCACAACTAATGAAAATAGTCATGCGTCACTTAACGATGAGGATATCTTCTGAGAAATGAATCGTTAGGCAGTTTCATCATTGTGTGAACTTCATAGAATTACTGTATGTATGCAAATCTAGATGTGTAGCCTACGACTTGCCTGGGCTATATGGGCTATATGTTGCTTCTGTATAGCCATTATTGTACTGAACACCGTAGGCAGTTGTAACACAATGGCATTTGTGTATTTAAGCATATCTAAACAGCAAAATTATGATATAAAAGGTAAAAAATGGCATACTCATATAGGGCCCTTACCATGAATGGAGGTTGCGGAACTGGACGTTGCTCTATATGAGTGAGTTTGTGAGTGAGTGAATGTGAGGGCTAGGGCATCACTGTGCACTACTGCAGATGTTATAAACACTGTACACTGAGCTTCCACTAAATAAAAAATTTTTTCTTTTTCTTTTTTTTTTTTTGAGTTGGAGCCTCACTCTTGTCACCCAGGCTGAAATGCAGTGACATGCTCACAGCCACCGCAGTCTCGACCTACTGGGCTCAGGTGATCCTTCCGCCTCAGCCTTCCAAGTAGCTGGAACTACAGACGTGTACCACCATGCCTGGCTATAATTTTTTCTTTCTTTAATAAGAAATTAACCTTAGCTTATTGTAACATTTTTACTTTATGAACTTGTAATTTTGTTTTAACTTTTGACTCTTTTGTAATAACACTTAGCTTATAACGCAAACATATTGTACTGCTTTTTTCTATTTTAAGATTTCTTTATTTTTTACCTTTTAAGCCATTTTGTTAAAAACTAAGAGACAAACACGCACAGGGTAGGATCATCAGTATCATTGTCTTCCACCTCCACATCTTGTCCTACTGGAAGGTCTTCAGGGGCAGTGACACACGTGGAGCTGTTATCTCCTATGATAGCAATGCTTCTAGAATACCTCCTGAATCCTGCCCAAGGCTGTTTTACAGTTAATTTTGGTTTTTTGGTAATTAGAAGGAGCACACTCTAAAATACCAATAAAAAAGTATAGTATAGTATAGTATAGACAAGACAATAAGAAGTGTTCAACTCCATTATAATCTTATAGGACCACCATGGTATCTGCAGCCTGTTGTTGACTGAAATGTTATGCGGCACATGACTATACAGTGAACTTTAAGGGAATGAGGAATTTTACCTGAGTAGAACACACTTTACACATATTATGATAAGCATTGGAAAATAAGTTTATCTCCTCAGGTAGAATGAAACGAGTTTGGCCTTATTAAATAAAAAGGAGGCATGAAAGGTTTTTCTGTGTGGATGGGAGGATGACAAGGGAAAGACAGTGTTTAGATGGTCAGGATGTGTGGGAGAGCTGTGGGCATGAGGAAGGCCTGCGAGAAAGCGGCAGTGAGAGCAAGGGCTTGGCAGAGGCAGCGAGAAAGGTAGAAAGAGGCAGAGACGAGAAATATCGATGGACATTGTGGCACAGTCCTAGGACTGTGGGGAAGGATGAAACCAGCATCACTGCAAGGTATCTGGCAATCTTATTAAAACTTGGGAGGGAGAAATGATTTTGGATAGGAGAAAAGTTGGAAAATTGGATGTCGGGAAGATGGTGCCATCCAGTTGCTGCCCAGTCAGAGACGTGGGTCTCATCGGAAAGCACCTTAGAGAGGCCTGCTTGAGCACTGTCAGCACAGAGGCTGTCAGATAAGAGTGCAGCTCTCTAGTGATGGCTACTACTTCTGTCATAAACTGCTAGTTAGAATCCAGCTTTCGCAGGTTGAGTGTCCCTTATCTAAAATGCTTGGGTCCAGAAGTATTTCAGGTTTTAATTCTTATTATTATATTTTGGATTTTGAAATGTTTGTATTCTACTATATTGGGTAAGTATTCCTAACCTGAAATTCCAAAATTCGGAATGCTCCAATAAGCATTTTCTTTGAGTGTCATGTCAGCACTCAAAAAGATTCCAGTTTTGGAGCCTGTCAGATTTCAGATTTTCAGAGAGGAGTACTCAGCCTGTAACGATGGCACATAAATCATGGCATCAGCAGCACCCTCTGAGTTGTGTTCCAGTTTTGGTGTCCCATATAGACGTAGAGTCACACTGAATGATGTGTAGGTCGGTGACAGGAAGTGGCAGGTTAGGATTTTCAGAGGCTTGTGTTGCTGATCACGGGTTGTTTGAGTGTACTTGGGAGATCGCCATGTTGACGGTCTCCTGCCTGCACCTCCAGAGCTCTGCGATAGCTGAGGTGGGCTTCCCACGTGGTGACTTATCTTTGCCTTTCACAATGTGAACTGCAGATGCACCTCTGTACTGCTTCATTAGGCAAAGAAATAAATACTTAACATTTAAACATATGCTGCAACCCACACAGAATCTCAGATATGACTGGTTTATATTCATAAGTTTCTTGTTATTCTTTTTTTCTTTTTTTTTGAGTTGGAGTCTCACTCTGTCGCCCAGACTGGAGTGCAGTGGCCGCTGCCGGCCACCACAGCCTCAGCCTGCTGGGCTCCGGCGATCCTTCCGCCTTAGCCTTCCGAGTAGCCAGAATTATAGGCATGTGCTACCACGCCCGGCTGATTTTTTGATTTATTGTAGAGGTGAGGTCTCGCTGCCCAGGCGGGTCTTGAACCCGCGGGCTCAGGCAATCCACTCACCTCAGCCTCCCAAAGGCGCGGGATTACAGACTGAGCCACCCAGCTGTTTCTTGTTATTCTTAAGCAAAAATTATAGTTGTGTTTTGTTGTGTTCTAAACTCTTAATTCCCATTAGACGATTGTCTTTTGAAATGTTTTTTTAATTTGAGCTCATTTTATTTCTTTTTTAATTTTTTTTTTAATTTTAAAGATGTTGGGTACAATTCAGAATTAGGTATACAAGTGGTCATCATACAGGTAGTTTGGGTCTCCCTTTGGTCCCCACTTTGCCCCCTCCCTCCCCTGGCAGTGTCCTACTTTCTTATTGTATTATGATAAATGTTCAGGGTGTGCTTATGAATTAAAATGGTCTTAATCTCAAATTCTTTCTGACTGACTTGGACAGGGTAGAAATGATATTTTTCCCTTGAGTGATAGTTTCTTTTTGCCAAGTTAACTCAACCTATAACCAAGTTTTGATATTTTAAAAGAAGTTTTCTCTCTTGTTAAAAAAAATTTTTGAAGAACAGTTTTTGAAATGATTTTTGCAAAGAGAAACACATGAAGTCCTGTGTGAAGGTCAAAAGACTTCATGTCATCTGTCAGATGAAAGTAGGGAGCCTTCAGAGCCTTGCCAGATGTCATTACAAAAAGTGCAGAACAGCTGCAAAGAGCCACACAGAAGCAAACTTGCATCTGGATTCTTCTCTTCCTCTGTCTTCACAGGCTTCTTCCATCGAGACCTAAAGCCTGAGAACCTCCTCTGTATGGGACCAGAACTTGTGAAAATTGCAGACTTTGGATTGGCCCGAGAAATCCGGTCACGACCTCCATATACAGACTACGTATCCACCAGATGGTGAATACTGTTTTTCTCAACATTACTTAATTGCACTTCTTTAAAAAGATACTGTTATACTGAGGATAACATTAAAGTCACACACATTGATTTTTCACTAAGAGAAACAATGCAGTACAGCTCATTTGTAGATTTGATGGCATTGTACGAGGTTAAAAGCTTGCGTTATAAATCATGTTAAAAGGAAACCTAGTATGCTTTTCCATACTATAAGATTTTATATATAGGCCTTCCTGAGGACAGTTTCTCATAAGTCATGTAAAAGATTCTTCAAAGACCTACCTCAAAACCATCTAATTGCTGTTGTTAAAATGTTTAGACCCTAGGATTTAAGTAGTTTGCCATGACCAAGAAGTAGTCTACACACAAGCTTTAGAATGTTTGCTCTTAACTCTCTCTCTCCCTCTCCTTCTCTTTCTCCCTCTCCCTCTCTTCCTAATTCTCGCTCTGTGTTTCTCAAAGACTTCTGTAGATAAATACTCAATAGAAAATACTGTGGACCAGAGAAATGCCACTTCTCTACAGCAACCACAGCCATTGTCAAGTTCTTGCAGTTCCTTGTGCCACAGTGAACTAGAGAGAAAACAGAAACAAACGGACTCTCTCACTTAGACTTGGTTGTTATTTAATTTAATTTCTGACCAGTAGAAGCAATAGCCAGCAGCTAACCCTTGTCTCCCCAGGTACAGGGCTCCAGAAGTCCTCCTGAGGTCTACCCACTACAGCTCCCCCATTGACGTCTGGGCCGTCGGCTGCATCATGGCAGAGGTGTACACTCTCAGACCGCTCTTCCCTGGGGCCAGTGAGATTGACACGATATTCAAAATTTGCCAAGTGTTGGGGACACCGAAAAAGGTAGCAATATGAAACAAAGTCAAGTGGGCCAAAGCCAGCGGCTCCCTGTGCCGCTTCCCCTTAAGTCCTGTGCCGTGCTGGCACTATCGAGCACCACCCATTCTAGACTCTTTCTCTCAGCCTTGGTCATCCTCCACTGCCCACGCTCTCAGACACGGCTGGCTTCTTTCCCTCCTACTCTCAAGTATTACATCTGTCATGACTCCCTCTGCTTTTCTCTCTCCATCATTCTTCCATTGTAGAGCTGCTCTGTTCTTATGGCTACAACTCTTACACCTATTCAGAAGTCCCCTCAATGTACTCATAGGCCCTGGCTCCCTCCTGTCAACTACATCTACATAGTTACAACTCTCTATGGGATTTTCTGCCAACTCCTCACCATAGCCTCAAACTCAACATGTTTGGAACAGGTTGCCTTTTTGTTCGATCCCACTAGCTTCCTTCTTTCATTCCCCGCTTGGTCTGTGTCTCATCGTATCCCCGAACAGCCTTGAGACTGAGTTTTGGCTTGACCTTCTCTCTTTCCCCTCACTCTCCTTTCCCTTTGTCCAAGCAGTTGGTCAGTAAATGCTGCTGAGTGTCACTGTGTTGTCTGCCTCATGTGGCTCTTGTTCTTTCGAGTTCACTGCTGCCATCTCAGATTGGACCATGACCACCTTGCCTGTGTCTGAGGGTATCTTCCAATCTTTCTGTCAAGTGCTTTCCTTCTGGCTTGTCTTCCAGTCTGTGGCCAAATTCAGCCTCCGAAAGATCAGCACGGGTACTGTGTCCTCCCCTTGTGAAGTTATTTGCCGACTCCCATTGCCCAGCCCCTTACCTCTCGATCCTGTCCCCCACTTCATTCCCACATGCCATGTGCCCTGAAATTTCCTCTCCTCTGTGCCTGCACGTACACCCTCTGCCTGAATGTCTCTTATGTGTCTGTCCTTTCAAGGCGCTCAATAACCTCCTCACCACTGTTTCCTGATCTCTCCATCTTCCTTCACCTTCCTGTGTTACTGGTATAATTATTTGGGTATGTATTTGTTTTCTGGACCATAAGCTCATTCAGGGCAAAGATCTGTTGTGTGTTTATTTTCCCAGGTCCCAACATCATTGCTGATACTAACTAGACCCTTAAAAAATTTTTTAACATCATTTGAATGAATTATTAATGCCACCTCCTTAAGATTTCCCCAATTCCCTACTGGAATTTCTTCTTTCCTCTGCATATCTACATATCTATATCTGAGTTTCTCCTGTGGCCTTTTTACTTTTTACTCTGCATTATTACTCTGTTTTAAGGACAGTAATATTCTTTTTGTTGTTGTTGTTGTTGAGTTGGAGTCTCACTCCATGACCCAGACTGGAGTGCAGTAGCATGCTCACAGCCACCCCAGCATTGACCTGCTGGGCTCCGATGATCCTTCTCCCTCAGCCTTCCAAGTAGCCGGAACTACAGGCATGTACTACCATGCCCAGCTAATTTATTTTATTTATATATTGTAGAGACAAGGTCTCACCAAGTTGCCTGGGCTGGTCTCGAACCCGCAGGCTCAGGAATCCACTTGCCTTGGCCTCCTAAAGTGCCAGGATTACAGGCTGAGCCACCGAGGACAGTAAAATCCTTAAGAGCAGGATTTATACTGGATATCCACCAACATTAAGCTTACAGTATGCACCCCAGAACTATCTAAGTGAATGACTGATACAATCTATACATATTGCAACTTGACTTTAAAAAAGAAGCAGAAAGGATGTATCTCATAAAATAGTGGAATGTTAGAACTGGAAGAAGCCTTAAAGATCATTTGTTCAACATTTTCCATTATTCATTCCAGCATTTAATATCCCCTAACCATGATGCATGAAAGAGCACTGAGTTTGAGACAGGATGGAACAGCGAGCTTTACTGCTGGTTCTCTTCCAAAACAATGTGTACTTCGAATCATCAAGTTGGGGATCTCATCGTCTGTAGGATTTCACAAATATATTTGACCAGGAACAAGATGTTTTATTTTGTTTTCCCCAAAAGATACCTCGTCAGCAGTTTCCAAAACCTCTGTCTCATGAAAAAGAGTTGGAGAAATACTCGGTTCAGTCCCCAAATCTCAAGAGATGTACTACTTTATATAAAGGTTATGAAACAAGTGGTGGCAGGTCTTTTCACTGCTCACCAGATGCCATGGTGTTTGGGTTTTTTCCATTAATATAGCCTGTGTCTCATCACATGCAGTGTCATGGTAGGGAATGTAGGTGGCTAAGGAGAGGGTTGCTTTCCCTTTTGGGCACTCATGCCAGAATATAAGCTTGTATCATGGCAATTGGCTGAGCAAGATTTTCTATCTTTTCCTTCTTTCAGACCGACTGGCCTGAAGGCTACCAACTCTCAAGTGCTATGAACTTCCGCTGGCCCCAGTGCGTACCCAACAACTTAAAGACCTTGATTCCTAATGCTAGCAGTGAAGCAATTCAACTCCTGAGAGACATGCTTCAGTGGGATCCCAAGAAGCGACCTACAGCTAGTCAGGTTTTCTTTCCTTTTTTTCCTATTTGATGCGTTTCTTAGAAGTTTGTGCCTAACTGAATAACCTCTATAAATTGCATGAGAAATATTTTATTTAGTATTATGGGAAAGAAATAATATTGAATACCACTAATGGTGTACTTTATAAGGCATAAGAACTTTAAATGGTTTTAAACTTTTTTGTAGTTTTGTTTGTAGTTAAAGTAGTTAAGGTTTAAACAATCTAGTTGGCACACAATCAACATGATATATCACTACCTACACAGAAAGGAAAATAAGCATATATATTACTCTGTCTTTTGAGAATATTTTCAAATGTATTCTCTTGAGTTAAAGTTGTGTGGTAGTTTGTTTATAAGCCAGTATTGGTTGTTGAAAGGCAGCATTATACCTTAAAAGTCCAATACACTCATTTTACCTCCGAGAGATGAGCTAGAGCTAGGATGGTAACTGCAGTTAGCATTTTACAACACTATACAGTTAGCCAATGCTTTAGTATATTCTTTGTGATGTTTAAGTAAGTGACTAAATACTCCATGAAATAGGTGTTACTGTTTTTACTTCTGTGAATGTGAAAGCTGAATCTCAGAAAGTTGAAGTGATTTGCCCGAATCTTCTCATCCAGTGACTAGTTCTGCGAGTGCAGCCAGCTGACTGGAAGTAGGATCCAGGTCTGCTGACATCATTCCTCCCACTTTCTCAACCCACCCTCCCTCAGACCTCTTAAACTTAGATTAGAGGGGCCCAGGCTGTGGGCTCTTAACATTCACATGCCTCTCGCAAGGCTCCTTTTGCATTACTTGTGCCTGGCCCCTTCTCAGCTTGTCTCACTGATAGTTGCATTGCACAGAGGATCAAATAAGTGACCAATTCCAATCAGCGAAGACAGTTTGACTAAGCAAAAATGACAGGGATATTTGAAAAAGGAGCCAATGTGGTGATAGAATTTCTGACAACTGGAGAAATGGTAGCTGGGGGAATATTAAGGAGTGTTGAAAAGCAGTTGGAAAACAAAGACTCAAAGAGACAGAGACACAATTTGGTGCCACAAGACTCTGGATGGCTCAAGAGCTTAGAAAGCTCTCAGAAATGCATGTCTGGTGATGAAATTCACAAAATGGTTTTGGGAAAGACAGGAAACTTTCTGATTAGTCCAGCTTTTAAAGGATGCACACTAGAGATGAAAAGAAGACAATTCTGTAACATGGATCCAAGAGAGGAATGTGTGCCTTATAAGAATAGTCTCAGAAAACCTAAAAATACCCCCCAAGTTAATTCACAGAGAGTATTGCAAATTCAGGATGCCATTCTGAAGTTGGGTTGGGCCAAGAAACTGTAGTAAACTGGTCATACGAAATACAGCCCAGTGATCATAATGGCATCAGCTTTCCAGGCTAGACATTTCTCCTAAAGCCTTATTTGTCATTCCAGGCGCTTCGATATCCTTACTTCCAGGTTGGAAACCCACTTCAGGATTTGGGAAGACCACAGAAAGAAGTCCTGGAAAAGGCAGGCCCACCTGCTCATATTAAGCCAGTCCCTCCTGCCCAGCCGCCAGCCAAGCCACACACACGAATTTCTTCACGGCAACACCAAGCCAGCCAGCACCCCCAGCATCTCACCTACCCCTACAAAGCAGAGGCCCCCAGGACTGATCACCCGAGCCACCTCCAGGAGGACAAGCCAGTCCCACTGCTCTTTCCATCCCTCCACAGCAAGAATCCCCAGTCGGTGAGCAGCCGGGATTTACCAGTAAGCTCTGTGTCTACATATCCGTCTCCTGGTCCCGCTGATTGTGAAAAAAAATCTTTTTCAGTAAACAGGATCTAATTATGGTAGATTTATTTTTGTAGCAGCATGGAATCATAAAAAGATTGTTGGCTTTGGAGTAAAAGTTCTAAATTCAAGTTCTGGCCCTGCGTCTTAATAATGGTGCCACCAATGGGGGCAGCTATAGGTAGTGTCGAGAGCTGGATGTGCAGCCAGACTGCCAGGGCCTCAAACCTCAACTTTGCTGTTTAATAGCTTGGTACCTGTGCAAGTCACTTGACCTGTCTGCTCATTTTCTCATCTGTAAAATAAGGCCGATAATAGCACCTATCTGATATGAGTGTTTTGAGGACTAAATGAACTAATACTTATATTAGTCATTGTTATTATTAACCCTTATGGACTCAAGTTTCCTCATCTGTAAAAAAGGAAAATCATAATGCATACTGTGCCTACCAGACAAGGTTGTTTATGAGGATCAAAAGTCATAATGTTTGTGAAAATATTTTATTTTTTAGGTTAAAAATATAGTTTATGCCTGGCTTGGTGGCTCAGCCTATAGTCCCACGCCTTTGGGAGGCTGAGGTGAGTGGATTGCCTGAGCCCGCGGGTTTGAGACCCACCTGGGCAGCGAGACCTCATCTCTACAATAAATCTAAAAATCAACCGGGCATGGTAGCACATGCCTGTAATTCCAGCTACTCGGAAGGCTGAGGCGGAAGGATCGCCGGAGCCCAGCAGGCAAGGCTGCGGTGGCCAGGAGTGGCCACTGCACTCCAGTCTGGGCGACTGAGTGAGACTCCAACTCAAAAAAAAAAAAAAAAAATATATATATATATAGTTTATTTAGAAAGTAAATTAGAGAGCAGGGGGGAGAGGATTCACTTCTCTAAGGTAGGAGAGGGAGTCAAAACTTAGGAAACATGGTGGCAGCCATAGCTCAAAGAGCACATGGCCATACCAGAATTTGACAAAGCAATGGCGAATGGAGAGAGAGAGACAGAAATAGAGATAGAGATAGAGAGAGATTGATTCACCTCCCCAAGGTAGGGGAGGGGGCCAAAGCCAAGAAACATGGTAGCCATAGCTCAAAAAGCCACGTGGACACACCAGAGTTTAACAAAGCAGTGGCCTATTTTTTATTTTTAAAGAGACAGAATTTTACTCTGTCATCTGGTCTGGAGTGCAACAGTGTGATCATAGTTCACTATAGCCTCAAATTCCTGGGCTCAGGCAATCTTCCCACCGCAGCCTCCTGAGTAGCTGGGACTATATGCATGTGCCACCATGCCCAGCTATGTGGACAGATTGTTAATGCTGGGCTATTAATTGAGCCCAAATCTCTCTTCTCCTTTTGGACTGGTTTTCTTTCTTTCTTTCTTTTGATTTGGAGTCTCACTCTGTCGCCCAGGCTGGAGTGCAGTGGGACACTCATGGCCACCCCAGCATCGACCTGCTGGGCTCCGGTGATCCTTCTGCCTCAACCTTCCAAGCTGCCAGAACTACAGGCATGAGCTACCATGCCCAGCTAATTTTTAATTTTCATTGTAGAGATTAGGTCTTGCCAAGTTGCCCGGGCTGGTCTCGAACCCACGGGCCCAGGCAATCCACTTGCCTCGGCCTCCCAAAGTGCTGAGATTACAGGCTGAGCCACCGAGGCCAGCCTGGGCTAGGTTTCAAAAGGAAACAATGAGTGTTAGATTCAATAAATGACAACCTGACAAGAGACTCTAGTTTTCATGAGCTTTGTAATGCTGTTTGAGGAGGCTGACTTCCTAACTCCTTTATGCAAAAATATTAATAGCACTTTCTCCATCTACTGGTATTTGAAGGGTGCTGTCAACTAGCACAATGAGAGACACTGCCAGAGGTTGCCAGGACAGCATCTCTAGCCCATTCACTTTACTCTGCCCATGATGTGGAGGTGGAGTGTGTTTGGAAGTTTCCTGAGATAGTACCTAGGTCTACTGAGAAAGCAAAGATGGCATTATTTGTGTTGTCTTCAGTGAAAGAGCAGGGTGGCTGACAACTTAGCCACAATTTCTTACATCTCTACTTATTTAAACAGTAGAAATCATTGAATCTTTCAGGGATGAGGCCTGAGTGTAAATTCAGCCATCTTCCTAGTATGGAAGAAGTATCTTCAATTTCTTTCTGTAAATCTTTACTTTATATAACTTTGTGTCTCAATAGATGACAATTAATGTAATCTGTGTGGGATAGGTGAGATAGAAGGCCTGGGAAGGTGTTTTCCATGATTGTCCTTTGAGATAAGCAGTGTATACTGGGGAATGTTATGCCCCAGCAGCCTCCTTTTCATAACAGGAAGTTCAGGATGGAGATTACTGATGGGTGAGCTCCATTAATGCCAAGTCTTGGTTTTTCCTCTCCTCTACTTGTTTATATAGAAAATCATAGCTGGCCTGGAGAACAAAAATGGAGAGATCAAGCCAAAGAGTAGGAGAAAGTGGGGCCTTATTTCCAGGTCAACCAAGGATTCTGATGAGTGGGCTGACTTGGATGACTTGGATTTCAGTCCATCCCTCACCAGGATTGACCTGAAAAACAAGAAAAGACAGAGTGACGACACCCTCTGCAGGCAAGTGTGCTGCTTGATCCATGAACAGTCTGTCTGGGATTGGTAGGACCATCTGTATGTATCTGATGATACACACTGTCTTTCATGCTTACCTAAGCCGCGTTGTCTTGATTCAGATTTGAGAGTGTCTTGGACCTGAAGCCCTCGGAGCCTGTGGGTACAGGAAATAGCGCCCCCACCCAGACTTCGTACCAGAGGCGAGACACGCCAACCCTGAGGTCCGCTGCCAAGCAGCACTACTTGAAACATTCTCGATACTTGCCTGGTAATGTAAATGACTTGCCTTTCCTTTGATTATTAAGGAGAAATCTTTCTTAGAATTACTTAATCACAAAGTTTCTATTTTAGAAGGCAAGTTCTTGGAGGCTTACCTTCAGAACTGGTAGGGACATCACAGAAATATTTGCTGAAACCCAGGCATCACTTTTTTTTTTTTTTGAGTTGGAGTCTCACTCTGTCTTCCAGGCTTTGAGTGCAGTGGCACACATGCTCATGGCCACCCCAGTGTTAACCTGCTGGGCTCCAGCGATCCTTCTGCCTCAGCCTTCTAAGTAGCCGGAACTTCAGGCACGTGCCACCATGCCCGGCTTATTTTTTATTTATTGTAGAGATGAGGTCTCACCAAGTTGCCCAGACTGGTCTCAAACCCATGGGCTCAGGCAGTCCACTCACCTCAGCCTCCCAAAGTGCTGGGATTACAGGCTGAGCCACTGAGCCTGGCCCAGACATCACATTTTTTTAATCTTTTATAGTTGCCCAAGATAAATTTGGTATGGGAAACTGGATCTAGCCCCCAGGGAAGAAGGAATTGGCAAGAGCTAGGTAGCATGTCTGAGGCCCTTCCACCAAACCAGGTTTAGGAAAAATTTCCAGTCAGGAACCCAGGGTAAGAGCTTAGTCACACCGTCCGGGCAGGAGTCTCACACCTGCAGCTAAGAGATGGAAGCCAGCCTATTTTGGATGGAGAAGAGAACAAAATGCTTGAAAACTTGGGAGTTGAAATACCTTTGAGGAATCAGTTCTTGGAGACCCTTCTACTACCTATTGTTTTATACCTACATTTAAATCACCTGGCTGAGTCCCTAAAGGCCTTTGAGTTTGAGACACCTTCTTCATAAGGGTCTTAAGACTCTGCACTTAAGTACAGAGGTGTCAACGCTGTAGTTTGGTGGATACCCAAGTCTCTCTCCAGATTGTCCAGATTCCAAGCTTGCATCATTAGTCAATCATTCATTCACAAATTAATTCGATCAGTAAAATGTATTGAGCATCTACTGTGTGCTCAGCACTGGAAATATGATGGCAAACAACACAGTAGAGTGGGGCCACCAGGTTTTACAGATCCATGTTAAAGTCTACACAGTGGCTTTCTGCAGCACCCTGCAGACAGCATTCTCACCCGTGTTGGAGAGACTCACGCATAGAGAGGCAGGAATCACAGGTGCTGAGAGAGTGAGAGAAGAGCTCACCAGGTGCAGGAAATAGCAGGCACAAAGGGCTGGAGGCAAGAAGGGACTTGGCCTTCAAGAAGGGCAGAGGCCAGTGTGGCCAAGAGCAGCAGAGTCAGAGGATGGAGTGTGGATTAGGAAGCGGCTTTCAGGCCCTTTGGATTTTATGTCACGAGCAATGGGAAGTCCTTGAAGGGTGTTCATTGGAGGAGTGGTGTGGTTTCATCTACAGCTGTGTGCCGAGTAGGGGAAGGGCCAGAAAGCTTGGCTGCTGTCTGGGTAAGGGGAATGGTGGCACAGG